AGTGGAGAGCCTGTTGAGTGCTTGGATCCAGCAGCTCTGGAGGCAGGCCCAACATGATGAAAGGGTACTGTGCTTGTTTGGGAACCTCATCAACGACGGAGGGCAAGGACGTGAGGAACGAAAAGGGAAATGGAGGTTCTTGAGTGCACAGGTTCGGATTGTGTTACATACTGTATATATATATATAACTGCTCAAGAATCCAACGGTGTGGTGACACTCCATGTTGAGCCGGATGAATGCCGTGATCCATTTGCCATTTGACAGCACACTTTCCTTCTACAGGCAGGTGAGGTTGTGGCTATAGACTCCACCAAACGCAATACCAAACAGAATCAGTCTGGGTGGTGACCTTGAAATCTCACTCGATCAAATCCAAAGACAGTACTGGAGGTGAGTGAAGAAGCTGCTAGATGTGCAAATCCTGAAAGGGAGGGTGCTGCAACAGAGAAGGCACAGAATGGGTGCCTTTGCACTTGTTGTTCTGCGGATGTGCTCTGCCTGCAAAGACTTGCGGTTCTGTGGAATGCAAGCAACGAATTGTAGCAGAGGACCCTGCTTTCATTGATTGTTGTTTTTTGAGTGCTTACTTTCTTTCAATGAGAGGAAAGGCATGGCTCGAGGTCAAAAATGGGCTGGCTGGTGGTATCAACTCACTTGAAACATAGACCAATACACCATGCCAAACCTTCCCCGGACTACAGGGGTGCCCTTTTTTCCACTCTACCTATATACTATATACATATATGTATCCTCACGAGGCCCCCATTAGCGACACGCAGCAAGCAAACGCACATAATATATATACCTCAGGGGTGCCCTTTTTCACCTCCAAACCGCCCCTGAACCAAGACGAAAAAGGGCACCCCCCCAAAACTACGTATTCTACTTTCTGTTTCTACCCCCTATCAGGGTGACTGCGATGTCAACTTCACCCCATCAAGTACTCTTTGCCCGATGTTCGCCAATCACTTCATCTTGCACGCTCACGTCGCTGCAATATCAACTTCACCACTTCCAGCTACATCTTTGCTCACTGATTCGCGACACACAGCAGGCAAGCGCCCCAAAACGTCCTGAACCGGGACGAAAACAGGCCACCCCCCCCAAACCTATGTAATATGAATTCAGTTTTGGGATTTACCGGAAGCAGTCATGGGTTGCGACACACATATGTATACACACGTATGTGTATATAAAGGTCCTAAGATAATGACTTGTGCCTAAGTGTTCCGTTTTCTGTTTGGTACGTCCTACTGTGGGTGAAGTGGGGACCGATCATGACCGCAAGTGCAATTGTAGTTTTTCAAGAGCGGGGACCTACGCCTGATCTCATTCCTCGGTTCACATTTCTTGGCAACCTTCTGCTTTTTGGCCATCTTCCAGTTCCTTGTCCTGTTCTACAAACTAACTAAAGCCTTGTCACGCTTCTTACATTGCTTGGTGCGGCAGGCCTTCAAAGTTGCTGAAGAATCCAAGAGTGTTGTGCCGTTGATTGCAGAGCAGGCCGTTTGCCGCGATACACCAGTCCAGAAGGCCCGAGAGTTCTTCGGTCGTTTCTTTCCTTTCTTCAAGTTAATAGCAGCAGAATGTCACAGATGTTTTTTTGTTTAACCAGAGATTTGCTCAGATAGTTGTGGATCATGAACCGAAAATTCGATTGAGAGGCCTCCCAAGTGGAAGCTGCTGGAGAATCCAACGGTGTGGTGACGCTCCATGTTGAGCCGGATGAATGCCCAGATCCATCTGCCATTGGACAGCACACTTTGCTAGGTTCTTTCCCATTTCGTTTCTACAGGCAGGTGAGGTTGTGGCTATAGACTCCACCAAACAGAAGACGAAGCAGAATCAGTCATTGGTGGCGAGTGGTGACCTTGAAATCTCACTCAATCAAATCCAAAGACAGTACTGTAGGTGAGTGAAGAAGCTGCTGGATGTGCAAAGCCTGAAAGGGAGGGTGCTGCAACAGAGAAGGCACAGAATGGGTGCCTTTGCACTTGTTGTTCTGCGGATGTGCTCTGCCTGCAAAGACTTGGTGTTCTGTGAACCACCCCGCCGTCGTTGTTGGAAAGATTGGTAGGTTGGTTTTGGGATGCGTGGACGTGGCGGATTGGGAGCAACAGATTAAGCTCTCAAGAAGGGGACGGGATCTCGTTCTTCAGATGAGATGTCTTGACGTGCTTTACTTGTTTTGCAGTTCTTGGTCCAGTCCAAAATCAAACAGCAAATGAGACAATGAGATTGTTTCAAGGTAGATTCGGGGGAATAGATGCTGTGTGATGAAGCCGACAAACGGAGATTTGGAATATTTTTGAAGGCAGGAGAAGTTCACTACAAAAAGGCAAAAACCCTGTAAAACATGTCCGTGATGCGAGAAAGGTCCAGGGAGGCTCCGGTCGTGTGCAATAACAACCGCAGTTGTTGCAGTGAGCAAACAGTTCTGCAGGAAAGTGACACCAGCTTTGTACTGTGCAGGAGGCCTCCAAGATGGAAACTGCTGAAGAATCCAAAACTGTCACGCTGTTGACTCCAGAGCTGGCTAAATGCCTTGATGCATCAGCTCTTGAGGCCGGACAGTCTTTCCTGTTGGACAAAGGTTCAAGCGGAAACACATCACAGACTGCTCTTTCGCTTCTCCCTTTTTGGAATGTATGTGCGCAAATAGTTGTAGATTTTTCATCGTGAGCAACCTGTTTGAGTGAGAGGCCTCCCACGTGGAAGCTACTGTTTAAGTTTCCTTAAGAATCTAGGAATCAAATGAATAGCGTGAGCTATCCTGCGTCCTAGGTAGTAGCGTTCTTGTAGCTATTAGCTACCTCAGTTCCTTACTTCATTGAGTAGGCAGGGGGGCAGCGGGCTAATAACAAGCCACCTGATCCATCGGCCTGGAACGCCTGACAGCAAGTTTTGCGCTTTGAAAGTCATTTTGTTCCGATGAACGACTTGGTCAATTGGTGAGGTTTGCTGTAGTCACTGTAGTCTTCAACCTAGCTCAGCAAACACAATTGGAGGTGTTAGACTCGCGAGACCTTGGGTGAATGACATCCACCTGAACACATAGGTCATGCCTCTTCAACCGCAACAGAGAATATCGCCCCACTAAGGGCAAAATAGCTATTCTCCAAGTTTGGTGCCCGGTGCCCAGAGGAACTTGATAGTTGGGTTCTAGGTTTGAACGCTGCCAGGCAAAAGCAGGGTGTAAGGAGACATCGGACCTTCAGAAAGAGTGGTGGACAGAGGCTGGGCTGCATGGAGGCCACTATGAAACATGTAGGCCACCTTTGGGAGACTCTTATCTGATTCATTCAGGATGAACATGACGCGAACAACCTTGTGTCGGTCTTTGCAGGCAATGTACCGGACTGCTGCCGACAAATATAGATGTATCGGGCAATTCAAGGCCTCATGAATATCAACTGTTGGGCTGACTGTCTAATCATTTCCTTGGGAAACCGCAACAGACGAGATTCACTTGGTCCCTTTGTCCTGAGATGCTTCATCGGCGTTCAAACAAAATGTGCCACTTCGAAGTGATTGATTGCTTCCAAGATCATGATCTGGGCAGCTAGCTTGATTCGACAGCAGAGGTTGGGCTGAGTGAACTCCATGCAGGTAAATCGCGGAGATTCAGGTTGCATCACTGCACGGCTTTGTGTGAGTTTAACCGAAATATGATAGACATGTTCTACATTCTGCCAGCAGTCCCTCTGAGGAAAAGAAGCATGGTACAACTGGACCCTCGGCAAGTTGAGAACAACTTTTGGAGCGGGAAACCCTTGCCAAGAAGCAACATCATAGTTCCCCACCTGCCAGGTCCCAGGTGAGGGTTGTGAGATTTTATCAGAGCTCTTCTCCTCTTCCTCCTCTTCCTCTTCTCCTCCTCCTCTTCTCCTCCTCCTCCTCCTCTCCTTGTCTTCTTGACTACCGCACCTCAACTGCCAGCTGCAGATCGCAATGGGCTATACCTCAACCACGTGACCTCAACTGCACGTTCATGATCGCAGTGGGCAATACTGAACCCCAACAGCAAGCGCCAGATCGGAGTGGGCACTATCGGACCTCAACAGCAAGCGCCAGATCGCAGTGGGCCGGACCTCAACAGCCAGCTCCCGATCGCAGTGGGCACTGCTGGACCTCAACCGCCAGCTCCGGCTCGCAGTGGGGACGACCGGACCTCAACAGCAAGCACCAGATCGCAGTGGGCAATGCCGAACCTCAACAGCACGTGCCAGATTCGCAGTGGGCACCCCAAAGGCAAGTGCCAGGGGAAAACTTCATCACTGTCGCATGGATGGTGCCGAGGAGAACTTGGAAGGGTATTGCAAACAGCATAGGCGTGTGTGGGCCAGCACTCAGAGACAATCAGGCGACGGCTAAGCCTAGCTATCGGTGAACTCACACACTGTCAGCAGAAGGCGCAAGTGAACTCGACTTGGATGGGGATGCTTGGCTGCTGCGGTCCATCCTGTTGGAAATACAACAAGACAGGCACCCGAGCTTGCAGGCACCATTGACAGCACATCACGACCATGGCAACATGCTCCTCACCATGGCGTGAAACAAATGATTGAAATGTCATGGTGGGGATCACATGAAATAAAGTAGGTATTCCCCATGAGATAGCCTGTCTGAAAGGGGGTCGGTTGGTAGGTAGTCCCCATGCCACGGCACAAGCGAAGGACATTTCTGTGCCAGGCACAGTGATGATTTGTTGCTCCCTCTCAAGTTCAAGGGATTTGTTCCTTTGGCCCTGGGTCATGCAACATGGTTGTCGGCCAAGATGCACCAAAACACTAGCAATTAGTTTGCAGCAGACCGGCCATTTGAGCCTGGACCCTCCAAAGTACCAAAGAAGATCAGACATGATCCTAACGGAGCAGGTGCTTGTGCTGATTATATATATATATAGTAGAAACTGAAGGTGGAGGATGGTCGAGGTACTTGTTTGTCATGTTTCCATCACTTCAGGAGGGCATCTTGAAATTTGGCAGCTGCTTGAATCGATGCAACTTAGCTGTGGGCCTTGTTGGTCTCTCCAGTGCGCCATGGATGACCTTATTGTTGAATCTGGATGTTATATTGTTGAATTGACGGGGTTTACAGTTTACCAAAAACATTTTCCAAGCAACTGGATTGGCTCACCAGTTGAACGATTCCAAAGTTTCAATATCCACATGTTTGACATTTGCCATGATGGGTTTAGCTGACCAACTTGACTCCGACATTGCATATTGATGTTGAAGGGGCTTTGGAATTCCTCCTTCACCTTCTTCTTTGGTCGATGGTTTCAGTGTTTGAGTGAAGAGGAACCAAGGGTCGTTTGGGCGGAAAGATGGCCACTAGGGGTCATCCTTTTCACGAAGAAACGTCCATTCTACATCCGAACCCGCTACACAAGTCACATTTTCCCGACTTGAAGTTACACCGATTTCTTTTTTTTTGGATAACAAAAGGGGTAGTTCATGCTCGTGCAACCTTTTTCCAATCCACTCACTGACCGGTCAAAACTCCATAGTCTTGACACATACAAAACCAATGACGCGCGTAAGACCTCCATGTTGGGATTTGCCAAAAGATCCTTTGTTCCGAAACTCTGAGGTATCAATCTTCCATTGATGCAGGCGTGGAGGGCTGACATCGTCCCGGTTGGATCCACAACTTCCAAAGCTCATTCAGATGACCATCGGGACGGTCAAGGGTGGTGATTGGTGGACCTCCTGGTGACAGATGATTGGAAGATGGAGCACAAAGTGGGCAGCGACCTTTATCGAATTGAACAGACCTGATTTTCATTGAAAAGGACCAATCTCACCAGCCTTTGCTGGATCAGAATTTGGGCACCAAGTAACCCTCAGGTCACGCGTCTTCCCCTCGATCACACATGGCTCGAATTCGCCAGGAGGCTCTGCGCCCACTGCTGAGGAGCGATCTCCAGCAAGAGAGCATGTGCGCTTGGGAATTTCCATGGTTTCAAGCTGGTGCAGGATGGACTCTCCATCACACATGGAAAAGATAGGCTCCAATTTGCGGAATATTCCATATGTGGCAACGCATCCTGAGATCGTGCCGTATTGTTGATGGGTGTTGTCTGTCTGTCTGGCTGGCTGTTTGTCTGTTTGTTTGTCTGTCTGGCTGTCTGTCTCTCGATCTTAAAGTCATACCAGCAAAACCGCCAAACAAGAAGCGCGAGGGATGTCAAGAATCAAGCCAGATGCAAACTGCGCATCCTTTTCACCCACATTTGCATGTGTCCAGGAAGGAAGGAAAGAAAGCAAGCAAGCAAGCCAGCAAGCGAGGAAGGAAGGAAGGAAGGAAGGAAGAAGCACAGATAGATCGAGAGGCAGAGAGGACAGGACAGGGCAGAACAGGAACTCGTTTAGGGAAAGGAAAGAAAGAACGAAGGGAAAAGAAGGGTTTAGGGTTTAGGGAAAGGGAAGGGAAGGGGACGGTCCAAAGGTCCAAAGGTCCAACGAAGGTCCAAAGGTCCAACGGGGAAGATCACGAAAACGAAGATACGAAGAAACGAGAGCTGCTTTTTCTCCCTCTCCCTCTCGCTTTTTCTCGCTCTTGGTCTCGCCTGAAATCCGTTCTCCACTCTTCGAGCCACAAACTGTGCAGGCCTTGCCGTTGCCAAGCACTCCTTGTTTTGCCGGGGAGCTTGGTGCTTCTATGATTGACGAGTGAAGGGAGCTTGGTGAAGGGTGAACTGCGTTCTTTGACTTCCCAATCGCCAAGTTGAAGGACTAATTGAGAAGTGGCAAGCTTCAGACTTCGCCCCCAAAGGCACACGCGTCTTTTGCGCAGGCTCAGAGCATTTTGCGGCTCAGATTGTTCTTAACCTTTTTCCATCTGGGCACCTTGTGTAGCAATGCCCAGCCGCACCAGCCGCAAACTGTCGAGCACATGGGCCAGCGAGGAGGAAAGCACCACTGCTGAAAACAGTGGCTTGAGTCAGCATGTTCCATGAGCGAGTGGGCGGATGATCCAAGAATCCGAACAGCAAAAACAGCTTGAGACGATCTGAGTTCTTGTTCGCGATTCGGAGAGACTTGTGATGGTTCGGTGTGCCGTTTTTAAGAAGCTCTCAATGTGCATGGAGGACATGTGCGCAAAGCGGTCAATGGGAGAAGTATTTCATAGACAGTTTCGCCAGGCAAGGAAAGATATCTTGTCTCGACCCCCTGTCGTCCTCCGCTGAGGTGATGCAGACACTTCTGGCAACTGCTCGGAGACTCCTGTCAGAGTCACACGTACAACTGACTCGGAAGAGGGAGACCCAAGCATCGTGGTCAGGAGCGACCCACTGTGACTGTGACTTTGAGACCCAATGTGTCCCCCGTTTGAACGCATCTCGCCATCGGATCCTCTGCGTTTTCGCTGCCTGGTACTACTTTCGCCTCGCTTGAACGGCCGGGAGGAGCACCTTTCTGGATGTCGATGAGGGGTCAGGTCTCCAGCAACAGTACAGGACCGGCGCGGGGCGGTTCGGAGCGGTTCGGAGCGGTGCCGAGCGGGCGGCAGAGACCAGTGTTTACTACAATGCCGCTGCCTATGTTTTCCCGGCTTCAGGGGTCAATCTTCCTGACCGATGTCGGTGGCCGCGTAGTGTGTTCGCGTAGTGTGTTGATAGCTCACAAGATGTTGCTGACCCAGTACATGGATGTGCATGGTCAATTCCACCCCACAACCTCACACACTTTGCGCCAGACCCCCAACATCTCATCGCCGTTCTGGGCACCTGGGGGGCAGGGCCGGGGGGCGTCTAAACTCAACCAGATCGATGAACAGATCCGAAAGCTTCTCTTGCAAAGAAAGAATAGCCCGTCTTCATAGATCGTCAAGAACGATGTGTTGGACGCTTACATGACATGGGAGGTGAGCAAAACGACCTGTATGTTCACGCGGTCATGGATCTAGACTCTTGGGTTTCTTTCAGGGTTTGACAACCAAACATGGCGGAGCCTGCGATTCTTTTGGAATGGGGAGCATGGTTTAAAGGATGGGTGAAGAGATAAACAGACGGAATCCTTGAAGTGGTATATTGATTTAGTGCGAGGTTTTCCCTGATGGGAGTAGCTTGAGTCAAGCTTTGTGCCACGCTTACCTTGGGATGGAGGTTGGCCTCTTGTTGCGAAGCGACTCATGATCTCTGAATTTGGCAATCACAGAGAAACAAAGGACCCCGTAACACAGGATGTTGATTCACCCCAGATATCCTATCCACTGTGACTGTCTCCAGGAAGCTTCGTCGCACCAAGTCAGAGGACCTCAGCTGCTTCTGGCATCCAAGAGTGTATGTGCCTGGATCCACGGAACGCATTAAAAGAACAAGCCACTGGGTGGATGTCCTGGCAGACCTACTGAGTGTCTACTGTATATATATATATATTATATATATTCTATGCATATGTAGAGGGTTGCTGAGGGGCGGCCAAGAGATGGCCTTTTGGGCCGTTGGGCACCTTTTCTGAGAGACTGATTGTAAGTGACCCTTCAGCACTGCACCATCATGCAGCGCTAAGGAGAATACAGTGAGAAGAAAGCTGGAGTTCTGCTCCACCCATCCGCGCCAGAGGATGATAGCGCTGCCAGGGCGTTGTCTGAGAGAACCGAGACGGAGGCATCAGAGAAACCGAAAGCAGAAGATGGAGGTACAGCGCCATGGCCGGATTCCACTTATCACCTGTGTGTGTTTTCATCGGGCTCAGCTGGGTCGAAGTACATGACATCAAGGAGGCGACAGGCTACAGGAGGACTAGGGAGGGGAAGTGGGAAAGAAAAGGAGAGAAAGAAGCAAGAAAAGAGAGAGAGAGAGAGAGAGAGGGAAGGGTTGAGAGTACAAACAGGGCTGCGCCGGAAGTGACCAAGAGAGGCGGAGGGAATGAAGTGACCAAGAGGACAATGGGAAGCGTGTGTAGGACCAGGAAGAACATCGTCGGAAGCTAATAGGATTACAGAATCATGCGCAAGAGAAGGTGGAGCTTTCATGCAGGCCACAAAACAGAGCCACACGCAGAGGGGAACGGAAAGGAAGGGATGCAAGATCCTTCAGCCTTCAGCCGTAAGAGTTGCAAGGCAATACCAGACACACAGCTTGAAAAAATTCAATGGACCACTCTCAACCCCTGCAGACCAGGACAGTATCAACCTCAACCCCTGAAAGAAAACAGCACCACTCCACCTGTTTGCCCAAAACTTGTTCTGCTTCTCGAGCGACAACCAGCTGGCTTTGGTCAAAGGGCGGCAGGTTCCGCCTGCAACATCGTTCCTTCGGTTTCCTTCGGTTTACACTGTTTAAGGATCCACGGTTGTGCAGTCGTGGTGCACGATTTTTCGAGCATCTCGTCCACAACTGCCATGAGAGAACTCAGGTGATGCTGAGGAATCTTCCCAACAATTACACTCGAGAGATGCTCATGTCATTGCTTGACCGGCTCGGTCTTGCAGGCGGGAACAACGGGATTATCAGCTGCAAAAGTGCACAGCTGGATTCAAAGAAAAGCTGCTCAAGGATTGAGAACTGGGCTCCTTGAGCATACCATTTCTCTCTGACCATCGTGGAACTGCTTCCTTTTGACACTGCTCCACACTGCCTGGCAGGTGACTATGACTTCATGTACCTCCCCTTCGACTTCAAGCGCGATGCCAATCTTGGCTACGCATTTGTGAACTTGGTGAGTTCTGAGGCCGTCACTACGGCCGATGGAAGTTCTGAGAAGATGATCCATTATTTCTTTTTTTGGCTTAGATGTCTTACAATTTTCTATATAAGTCTTGTTTCTGTTCTTGTGATAAAGTATATTTGGGCCAGGTTTGTGCTTGAGTAGGTGTGTTTAAAGCATAGGGCATGCAGGCTGCAACACTTGTCATCACCTTCTTCACCCACAGCAGATGTTCGGGTTCTACATGTCTCGATCTACGGGTGTCTGCAAGGAATGTCTCGATTGGTTGCTGTCCAGCCCTGTCTCTCGCGATCGATGCATTCGGGCGCTGTGGCAGCGTCTGGCAGGCGGTGGAGTCCTTGTGGAAAGCCCTCGACGGCTTCTCTGACCCTCGTTCCTTCGTATGGGACATGTGTTACTGGATGAGATCCATTTCATTATGTCATTTCCAAGCAAAGCTTACGGTGACATCATAGGAATGGACAGACATGATACACCCCAAAGAACCCCGAACATCACCTGGGATCAGCTTCTTGGTGCAGCAGGAGTCTTGAAGGGCAGCAGTACACCTGCAAAGCTCAAGCAGTCACCACTTGGTTTGCTTGGAGGTTAAAGATACCAAAAGTCCGGGGTCGTCTGCGGGGTCCTCTCTGGAGAGTTGGGGTCTCAAGGCTGGGGTCTGTCTTGAGAGGCCGCTGTGGTAGGCTACCGTAGCCGCTTGCGCCGACCCCGTGGAGGGCAGACTTGATTCGTTTTCGTCTTGACTTAGAGCTCCAGATTCAGCGTATCCGTGAGGGCCTTCGACCTTCCGCTGTGTGGCACTTCCCACTTTCTTCGTGAAGCAAGATCGGCCAAGCAGTGAGAATATGGGTCAAGAAAAAGTGTGTGGGCCAATGCGATCCAAACGAGCAACAGACCCGTGGGATTGAGGACTGGTCGCTGCCCAGCTCTAAAGTTTGTCAAGTGAAATGGAGCGGACCTCTACAGGGTTTTGATGCTCATGTCCAAAGGCGCGGTTGCCGAGAAGAGACAGAACCGGATTGTGACACTGAGGAGGGTGGAGGGATGGGAAGTTGGGCTGCGGGTAAAGATTTTGCATGAAGTAACCTTCTTTCAAGGGCCGCTGAAAGCTACAAGTATTGGCGTCCATGATATGTGTATCCGATTTGCAGGTACAGAAACAGCCCAGTGATGCACAAGAGCGTGCCTGAGAAATACAAGCCCGTCATCCTCCAGAACGGTTGGCCGGTGCCATTTCCAGAGCCAAATCGTCGGGTGAAGGCGCCTAGCCTCTAGAGGTTTCCAGGGACCCACGCCGCTGGATTGGTGGATGAACGAAATTTGAACATTGAAAGATTCGAAGAAGAACTAAGGAACCCTGGTTGTCCGGAGCAAATCATGGCATCGAAATCTTCGGGCGACAACGCAAGCAACATTACCAAAGGAAGGTGTCACTATTGTGTCGCAAAGGATAAGGGGTCTGCACTTCTTGCAACATCTTCAACACCGAGAATTAAGATGTTCGTTGGCAAGGAGTGCAGTAGCTGCGTTGGGCAGCAGAGCTGTTTATCTCCCACGCCTCTTCTCCAAAACTGGGATTTTTGTTGGGGGGGTCAACCAGTGTCAAACACAGGCTTTTGGCCGAGCCACCATGTGTGAAGGTTTTGGGAACGTATCCGGCAAATCGACACGTGGCCATGGCTCAACGAATATCCAGCGGCGGGGCCCGGCTGCGGCGGGAGACGGCCTTCCCGCTCGCCTCGATCGGTTTGGACTTCTGCAGTGGTTTCCCAGGCCGGGCCGAACTTCTTTCACGGCTTGTTTCGGGGGCTTCCAGCCAGGTTGCTCAAAGCTAAGAGCCGCTTCTCCTAACTTTGACCGATTGTGGTTGTTGAGTGCGACTCTACATCTTTGTGCGTGTGCGTTTCAGCAGAGATTCTCAGATACAGACATCATGACATGCCAACTAGTCACTGGTCGGTGTTT